TAGAACAACAGTCTATGATCAAAAAGCAAATTGTAGAGGAGTCCGATGACGGGAAACTAATGACTGGGTTAATGGACAATAAGCCAAAGGAAGCTCAGCCCGTAGATAATCACGCGATTGAGTCCTTTGTCAAAAATAATTCACGGGAGAATATAAGCAAATCAAGTGAATCTCTATTAGCTTCATTAGAAATTTAGCCCTCTTGAGCTTTTTAGCGAGGGGGAGTTACAGCTAAAAGCTGAAACCCTGAGACAGAACAGGCCTATGATAAAGTAGTCTTTCCAAAGTCAGATTCACAGCGCTCCTGTTTATTGAATTGCATTAAGCCAATACTTATTTTTAAGGCACTTAAACCGAAAGATCTCGACGAAGTTGTGGATGTAATGTTTGAACGTCTTGTTGTGCCTAATGAGGAAATTATTTTGATAGGAGATGTAGGTGATAATTTTTTGTCGTTGATTCTGGAACTTACGATATCTTCATTTCTTCACCGGAAGGATTAAAGAAGGTTCATCAATACGTAGACCAAGGATCCTTTGGAGAGTTAGCCCTAATGTATGATACTCCCAGAGCCGCTACTATTCGGGCTGTAACAGAAGGTCGTCTATGGGCAATGTCTCGAACAGTGTTCCGTAGCATTGTTTTGACCAAAGCGTTCAAAAAACGTCAAATGTATGAATCCCTTCTTCAAAGCGTCGGCATACTTTCACACCTTAGCTCTTTCGAGATAAACAGTATAACAGATGCTCTGTACCCACAAAATGTTAGCCTGGTGAGATCATTCTTAAGGAAGTCGATGCAGAAGCAAATGCAATTTTTTTCATCGAACAAGGTGAAGTGGAAGTCACCTTTCAAGGTTTCATGCTCTGCCATTTGAAGCGTGGCAAATTGGAATATTTTGTTTAGTTTTTTTCACTATTACTAGTATTATATATTTAGGCAATGATTCGTTCGACAAGATTTAGAGCTAATATCTCACATGGCTACATCGAGCTTATGGAGTCTTTAACCGCTCTTACTATTAGAGAACGGCTGAAAAACTTAATTAGATTTTAATCGAAAGTATAAGACCAAGATGATGTGGCCTTTCTTTGTGGTCGCAGTCTCCCGTAGTATAGAAATTGCTTGACCTTGTTTTCGCAACTTGGTCATATTGGTAAGAAGACTAAAAGGAAAGCACCTTGTTCTGAG